TCTCATCCACACACTCCAACACCCCTCTCATCCAGACATTCCTTCATAGTGTTCATCTGCCTCACTCTAGGTTTCATAACTTATTATATTCATTCTGATGTTACTGTACATTTTGCTGTTCCCTCCACCTCACATACGGTATAGGCTATAGTTCATCATCCTATAGACAATATGGCTCCTTTAAACTATAATTTTTACCATTCATCACCATTCCTCTATCCTGTTTGACAATATGGTTCCTTTAAACTATAATTTTTACCATTCATCACCATTCCTCTATCCTGTTTGACAATACGGTTCCTTTAAACTATAATTTTTACCATTCATCACCATTCCTCTATCCTGTTTGACAATATGGCACCTTTAAACTATAATTTTTACCATTCATCACCATTCCTCTATCCTGTTTGACAATACGGTTCCTTTAAACTATAATTTTTCCCATTCGTTACCAAATCTCTATCCTGTTTGAAAGCTGGAGTGATAAAAAAGTATCCTCTCCAATCTCTCTCCTTCCAGCTGCATCTTTCACTCCCATCACAGGACCTACAGCCTCAGTTTTTTTATTAACCTTTACTTTCAGCATCTCCTTTACCAACTCATGCCCCAACTCCTTTACAGGTTCTGCAGTGTTTACTTACTGATGATCACAACAGTGTCATCTTTACACTCTCCAAACCCTTCCATCTTTCTCTAGAATTTGTTTCCTTTTCCACATCCCTACATATCATTGGATGGGATGCGCTGTATGGCCAGATGATTGTTGTTATATGCTTCCACAAGGCATGTCAGTAAATGTAGATCTTTTTTTTTTAAGATGTTAATGGACAGTATTTGTAGTGAAAACTTATGTTGCACCACACAGTAATGTTACTGTGTGATGTGAACCATACAGTAAAAATGTCAGGAATATAAATAATTTTTTTCTTCTATTTTTTCATGCAAAATACAGAATTCACTTCTTGCAATATTACAGTGCTGCAGTATAGTACAGTATTTATCTTTTCTATGCTAACATTAGGCCAAACATATTACTGTACTCTGTTGTCCAATTCATTTACAACTTCATCTAAAAATTGGGAGTAATTTTTTCACAGACCTTATTAAAATGGTCTTGTATCTTGTCTGTGCCTTAAGAATGTCTCTTCATGTAAACTTGTTTACCCTCTTATTGACAAAGGTTTGTTCAAGTTTCAGATTGAAATTAATATCTTGCATCCATTGACATTCTATTTTTCCTCGTGCTCCTTAAATGTTGTGCCCTGATTCATCCCAGTACTATTCCTTATACTAATTGTTGCTTCAGGAAGCTTGAACCCTGAGACCCTTAATATATAATTTTAGTTGGAAAATTTATACCGTACTGTACTGGTTTATTCGGGTTTGTGATCTGATGACCAAAGTAATACAAAATAAAACTATGATACACAAGAGTCAATATCAATACTGTACCTTTTTTTTTATTTTACCTCAGGAATATACTCTTCCTTGGACAGAATAATAATCCCTGTTATACATATTTAAATGTCTGATCTCCCAATATATTTCAGTTTCCCATTATTAGCTTTCTCTATCAGTATTTTTCACTTGATAAAACTTTATTTCTTAGCCACTGCGCGATCTGACGGTGGTGGCCGGAGAGGCATTGCGTCTAGAGTGCGTGGTGCAGGCAGACCCTCCCGTCCAGGTGACATGGTCCAAGGGGGGCATCATCCTCCAGAACGGACCAGACTACCAGATAGTTTACAGAAACGGTGTTTGTAGATTGATCATTCCCCAGGTCTTCCCAGGTAAGATTTTTTTTCTTCACTTCAGTATATGGCATGAAACAAAACAAGGTAGAAAACACTAAAGACACAATGGCCAAGCTAATGCACATTCAAATATTGAGGTTCCAAAAGTACAGAGTTGTACTCTTTGTTCTTTCCATCATTCTTCCCTCAAATTTGACTTGTGGTTCTGTACTTGTGTACTGGTGATGTTTGGAGTCTGAGAACTTAATATCTGTGAATAATGTAACTTTGTACATAATTAATTATACCATTGGCATTCAAGAACCGAACTGAATTTTTTCAGCCACAAGAGAGGCCATAGTAATGATGTAGAACAGTATTTTGGAAAGTAACAGGAATAATCTTTTCTTTCTCATGTCAGAGGATGAAGGAGTGTTCACCAGCACTGCTGTCAATCTACTTGGGATGGACTCGACTAGTGCTACTGTCTGTATCACAGGTGAGAAGAAGTAATCTTCAAGATGAGTAGAGTCTCCTTCTGCTGCTACTGCTGCTGGTACTTCTGCTACTGGGCTGCTACAGTCTTCTGTCAAAGACTTGTATGGTGGTGGTGGTATCGTAGTAAGGACTGGTTTTAGTGGTAGATACTTCTCTATGTAAGCTCTCTATAAGTCAGAGTTCCACTTCTTTCAGATTGGCTGGGGCATCACTCTAGTTCTAAGTTAATGTAGGAAAGTGAAAGTTATTTGTGAACTGATCTGCTTTGTATTTGGTGATGGTAATAATATTTTTATTTCCAAAGAATTTTTCAAAAGATATTAAGGGTTTGGTACCATGAGAAAGCATAAGTTGAAAAATAGTCTCTTCCCTCCAATACATTTTAGCACTGTGAAGGAAAATGGTGAAATCAGTGTACAGTATAGTGTAAATGGATAAAAAATTGAAAGGTCACAGTTACTTCCAAGGGCATTGTAAATATCATCGATCGTTAATAAACAGTTAAGCACTGCCTTTTTATTTAAGTGAATTGTTAACTATTTTTGCATTTTAGTCAGAAAAAATCTGTTGTATTGGACATGTAATATGCAGAGTTATGCATTTTACTCTAGTCAGACCCAGTGTGGGCATGAGCTGACTTCTCTCTCTTAAAGGTTCCTAGTCAGTTATAGGCATCTCTGTGATCTTCTCGGGCCTGGTTAAAAATGATCATGGAATTTTTCAGCGTCATAAGTGTGTAAGTTAAAATCTCTGTAGCTTTAGTTATTTCTGAGTCATGAGCGCAGTGTTGATGATTACGCTTCATTTGCATTTGAGCAAATATTGTTCTTGTAAATAATTATTCACAGTTTTGTCTTCCATGCATATCTTACAAAGTGCCTTCGAAACTGCCTACATGCACACCTTTCCAGAGAATCTCTTCTTTATAAGATAAAGTCCACTTTCTTCACTGTCCCCTCCTTTTACTGCTTCCATTCCCCATCTCTTGAGAACTAAAACTTGAGGCTGTCCGGATTGCATGTACGACGATAGTCTGCTGCAAGAAATATGATATACAACGTGTGTACTCTGATGTACAGTTGTATTACTTGAACATTTTCTGGTTATGTGAAGCATCATGCCTCTAGAACCCACTGATCTTAGGTGTCTTGGTCTGTTTGACATTGAAATTTAGTTCCAAATAACATTAATCTCCTGTGAGCATATGTTTTTAGTTGTCTCTGTGTCTTGTGGATTGGCTTATAATACATTAAGTTACAAGTATGTTTAAGGCATGATGCTAATGTCAGACTTACTGCTGTATATATATGCCAAAACTTCATGTTTCTTCTTTCTTTATGTATCTTCGTTTTAAAAAATTGAAGGTTAGAATTAATCAGTTATGTTGCTAGAAGGAAAGTGAATCTTTTGAATGTCAATTGTTTAAAATTTGCTTTTTGTTAACACACATATTGTTTTAAGTTATCCAGATTTCTAATAACTATAATATTCCCCAAAAAATGAATTAAGGTTCCAAGAAGTTTTTTTATAAATGGGGTCCTAATACTTAAAAGGATACTGAGGAACACAAAGTTTCCTTTGATTTTTTTGCAGTTTCTATCATGTTACTGTTTCCAGTTTATGTATATTTCTCACTGTCATTCAAACAATGAGAGAGCAGCGTCTTCTTGTGAATTGTGCTACCAGTTTGTTCATCAATTAGATCAGTTAGCTGTTGTTTATAGCTAGTAGGCAACTCTCTGGCCTCCTATTGTGGTGGCTTGGTTCAATAAAACTATTTAACTATAGGACAGTTTTCTTGCTGTATCCCAATAACTTATTAAGTCTTTAAATCATTGTAGTTTTTCTAGACTATTAAAATGTTTACATTTCCACCATTCCCTCATCCTACAAATATTTTAGTATACCGGTAGTTTAGATAATGAACACCATAGAGTGATTGTAAATTTCCCTTGTGCAATGCCAGTGCCGTGTTGATTGAGAGAAGGAAGAGGATACGGTATGTGCATCAGATGTTTGAATAAAAGACCATCAGTGAAAATTTCCTTTAGAAAGGAATGAATTTGTTGGTGGCATTGAAGGATTCCGAAGAAGTATAAGATAAAGTAGATGGAAAATCAACGTGGGAGGTACTTAAAATTTGATGTAAAATGGGAGCTTTTTATAAGGGGAGTGATGCATGTGTTAGAGTGTGTCAGGCAGAGGGAAACTAATTTCTAGTGAAAATAGGATGTGTACTATTGCCACCAAGAAACAAACTCACTGTCTCTTGCTTACAGGATCATTTGTAGTATCCTTATTACATTCAGTAACACCCCCTACTGTAGTACACACACTGTACACCCATATTGTACACCCACAAATGACAACATCCTTGGTCTTCCCAGTAATCTTTCACAGAATCACCACAACACTTTACTCCTGCAAGACTTGTATCTTTTTATTATAGTCATGTGTGCCACCACAGAGAACACTGGGGTGGTACACCAAGGTCAATTTTATCATTAATAGATGTAAGTTGGTTTAAAGTCATTTGCCTCCTCACTATCTTCCTTCTCTTCCCTTTTCACATCATACAATTATTTTTATTTATTTTTTCTCTCTTTTTTTACTGTAAATTCCATGGTAAGTGTACCAATGAAAATTAGTCCATTACACCTTCCTTTCAGTCCCAGTCATAACTCTCATCATTCTGTATCATACCAACTCTTATTCTGTGTAGGTTACATTTTGTCAGACTTGATCACCATGTTGAGAGTATGGGAAGTGAAAGATTGGTAAAAGAACACAATTTAAAGGTTGATAGTAGAAAGGAGAGTGAAGAATGGAGAAGAGATGGAAAGATGGGGGTGAAGACCCTTTAGAAACAATGGGATTGGGTATCCAGGAAGCGGCAGTGTGTGAATGAATGGAGAACATGACATCAGTGATAAGGATAAGAAGTGCTGCTGATGGGTGGTGCTGGCTTATTTGAAGTTAGAGGGATAAACCAAATGGAAATATGGGGTCTTGTGGAAGAGGATCACTTTAGTAGAACATATCTGTTACAACAGTAAGTGTTGGGAGGAAGATTGTGTGCATGTGTACCGGTATGTATTTGCTCCTGTGTCCAGCCAGCTTGAACTGGAGGAAAAAGGTATGAAAGAGTGTATGAAAAAAAATCACGAGTGTAAAACAATATGATTGGCCGAATAGGAATTGGGCTTTTATATGTAATTCAGTATGAAATGAGTTCTGTGCCTAAGAGATGTACGTAATTTAAAGTTTTCAACTAAATTCTAGTTTTTATTTTGTCATTTACTTTAAGTACTGATAGGAAATCATGAGGTTAATTGATCACTGTTTGAAGAGTGTTTTCACTGCCACAGTGTATTCCTGTACTGTATGTTACTCTACTGTACAGTATTTGTAGCTTCTGTGGATTTTTTGATCAGATATTTCATAATAGTATAACAGTTCAGTTTTTCTAACAATTCTGTGTACACTACTGTAATGGACTTTATTATTATCATTTACACTCTGAATGGAAAACTAATCACCAGCAGCTGTTGACTTCATTGAAATTTTCCATACTGTACTTTTGTGTGTATACTCTGGGATGGTAATGTACCTTGGGTGGGACGAGCAACCTCCTGCACTACATTACCGACCCGGGTACACGCTCATTTGTCGATCTTTAGATCCATACTGTACTTTCTTTTCTTGTCTGTGAATTATTGTATGTTAAATTCTGGGTTAACTGAGGTTACACACTGCAGTGTTTACCTCTTTTCAAATTCTTGTTATTGTTTGTGGACTTGTCAATCGTGTGTTTTCATAATATTATTCACACCACAAATCCAAGATAATGTATAAGGAGAGGAAGGGGGAAAAATCTGTTGTGGGGATGAGAGTGGAAATCAAAAAAGCATTGTATTGTATTATATAAATTAAGAAAAAAGCAAGAAAAGGAAGATCAGCTGGAATAAATAAACAAATTAATTTATAAATATTGTATTGTATACAGATGACTTTCCATAATTATTTGCTGTCATTCTTTCAAATTGGTTTTCCTGATGTGTTCTACTGTGTTATTTTCCATTCAGAATGAGGCTCTTAAGTATCCATCTAGTTTAATCTTATCATCTCATAGAGCCCAGCATCACACACAAATACCCAAGCACTACTTGACATAATGCTGCCCAGTGAGGCAAGTATCTGTACAGTACACACTGCTTTCCATCCAGTACCTCCTTAACCCATTCTTCAACCTTCTTGGTCTTCCTTTCTGTCATCTCCCATCCACTTGTCTCATTATACTGTAGTTTATTCTCATTGGTTCTACACTATAGGAAAATTTTTGTTCTTCTCTTGCCTGGATGCTGTTGATTAAATTCTTTTGTAACTGATCAGTGTGTAGCATCTGGCTTTCCGTATATGAATATTAAACTGACTCTTTCCTCTAATGTTGATTTATCTGCCGTCTTTGTTGATTTGCTATGATTCCCACACATGAAAAAGAAAAAAGAAAAGAACATTAATTTTTACTTAGGTGTGGAGCCTATGAGATACCCTGTACAACCTACCAAAGCAGCCATGAACAAATATGTTGTACAGTATGTACAGTACAGTCCAGAATTCTGAAAATAATGAAAGAATTATTTACAGACAGCTTCAATATGATTATCATCAAATACAGTAGTAAGGCTTATAATGATTACTATTAATTATGGAGTCCTTGTGGCAGAAAGGGAATAGAGTAGACTCAGTATTTTGATGTTATAGGGCACCTGTGTTAGCTAGACGTGGGCAGGGGTAAAAGTCTCCATCCTCTCTTCCTGCACATTTGTGATGAACTCCCATCACACAGATGCATGTAAATACTCTCAGACAACTCAAAAATGTAATAGCCCTCTGGCATAGCAAGCAAAGCATAACAATAACCAATGCTCTTGCTAACACTCTTTTATAAATGACAGTTTTTTACTGATAACATAACTAAAGGTGAATATTACCAATACCAGAGGCTTCTAAACTGGATGTAAATGCTTCCAACATTCAAACATTGATTATTTTTTAGTCAATACTCCCCAAAAGAACTCAGAAGCCTATGAAGTGTGTCTCCCAAAGACAAATGATTTCTTATTCCAGTGAATAGTACTGTAATAATCCTTGATATTGAAAACCCTATCTTTCCTTATATTACTTTCTGTTCGGTCACTTTTTATCTTTATTCCTCCATTTGACTCGTATATCAGTTATTGCTGGATTTTCCTGATGTCTCACAATACTACATCACTTATTAATGATGACTTTCTGATATGTACAGCAATTTATTTCTTGGAGTGTAATTGTTGAACATTTCAAAATGTTGTGGATACACCCACCGCACATGCTGGAAAAATTCACCTGGGAATAAAGGCTGTTGGCTTCAGCAACTGTGCAGATGAATATATCTGCAAGTGTCACTTTCTATACTTATTACAGCTAAGAACATAAAGCTTTATAAGAGGATATCCCAACCTGGTCACTGTGTCAGGGTTTGAAACTCTATGTATTGTACCAGTGTATCACCTACTCTTAGTATTGTACTGTATACAGAATTTAAGTGCTGGAGATGCAGTAGTAGTGTTCAGAGGAATATTCTCTAAAAGTAAAACACACATCATCGACTTTTTCTTTAAATATGGTTTTATAGGACAAGGTACTTGCAGCAGGTTGAGCAAAGAAAGATTAGGAATATAGAATAATAAAGAAATGAGGAAATGGGATAAAGATAAGCAATAATTTAATGTGTTCCAGTTCAAGAGACCTTTAAAAGAAGACTTCACTCGCTGGAGAATATATTAAACCCAATCATTATTTTACCTGCATTTTTTATTTGATAAATTTCCTATTATTTCTTTGTTTTTTTTATTTCTATAGGATAACTTGGTCTTGCTCCTGTTCCTACTTCTACTGTCTTATATTTCAATAAATATCTTCCCTGGTGTCCTATCAGCAGACAAAACAAAAATTTTATTGGCACTCAAAAATATGCAGTGAAACTACAGAACTTGGAAATGAGTTTATGCATTTTGTATTATATTGCTTCACAAGGTTGTTATGGTGGAGGTGAGTGACCCATAAGTGTCTTGATGTTTGTGCTTTTGTTTTAGACACGCTTTTGTGAAAAGATGTTTGTGGTTACTGTTTTTTTTCATGTTCATGAGTTTGCAGCTTATTTGCAATTTCCTAATTACAATTGTACAGTGATTTATCAACTCCTAAGCATTTTTTTTGTGTGTTTTTCTGCTTATGCTTCATATCCCAATTTTTATGGTACAGTATGTACTCTCATTTGTTATTTCACAAATACCATCAGTTGTTTTTACATAAATTGTTCTGAGACTTAATATTATCAACTGAGTCAATAGCAAATATGGTAATTTTTTGATAAAATACAAGATTTGGAGGCTATATCACATGTGACACAGCAGTACAGTATTTGTTACTAATACCATATGACTTCATCTTTTCCTTAATACAGTCCAGTATATGTCTGTGTGCTTCATTAATATGAACTAATTTGTAGAATGTTAATTAACTGTAGCCTTGTTAATTCTTAGTATTAACAAATACAAACTAAAAAGTTATGCTTTTTAACAAAGCATCCCATAGTTTTACTGCATGTTTAGGTAAGGCAGAAAGCTCTTAATTAAAGAGTGAACAGTACAGTACAGTACAGTACAGTACAGTGAAGAACAGTACAGTACAATACAGTACAGTACAGTACAGTACAGTACAGTACAGCGGTAGTGTTATAA